GCCCAAATACTTGCAAACCATTTTGACAAACAGCTAAGCTTCTCAGAAACTGTTCCACTAGGTTCTAATAAACCCACAATCCCCTAACCCCCACCCCCACCCCGCTGAGCCTAAGAGACTAAAAGGCTACTAGATGCACAGCTTGGTTTATTATGCAAATCAAGTTCAGATCTTCCACAGATTTCTTAGAATAAAGGGGTTCCCCTCACCGGGTGCGTCAAGCTGTGATGCAGACTGACTAGCTATCAGTACTCCTCCCCGCCCTGTCAGAAAACTGGTAGCAGAGAAAAACAGTGGCAGTTTTATTTTTAGTGACTTATAGATTTCTTTACCCTATCACCTGTAAGTTTATAGTTTGAGCACATTTATGATAGACTTGTAATGTTTTCACCTAACCACAGTAAGGATATGTTCCTAGCACATAAATTCCTTCTCTGATTTATTCCAGCTCCTATCCAACTCTGCCTTTATTCTCTTCCCCTTTTTGAGTTGCAAATGATGCTGCCAGGAAGCTTCTGGTGGAGGCCTTGCAATTCTTATGTTGTATTGTAAGCGTGAAGGTGTGGCTGTCTTGGAAAAGATAGAGGCCAGTTCCGATAGAAGCAGGAAGAATTATGCTGGCAGAATGATGGTGGCGGACTAATACACAAGTTGGAAGAGAGAGCTCCACGTGTCTAGATTCATTCCCGCACCGCTGGTAGCGTCTCTTCTGGGCCCCCGGGAAGTGTGATATTAAGGCAGGTCCTACAATATTATAGGAAAGTACGTATGGAGTTGTGGTAGCATAGGCTGCTTCAAAGAAGGGGGGAGATGGCAATGGTAATTACGTAACAATTGTGTAAGCACCCAATTTGGGGCTCTTAATTTTAGAAAACAAATACTAAAGGGCATAAAAGGTCAGATAGGTCCTGATACAATAACAATGGGCAGTTTCAATACACCACCCTCTTCTTTAGATAGGTCTTTCAAACTGGAGTCAACAAAGACACCGCAGAGCTAAACTACACCATAGATCAAATGGACTTAACAGATTCTACTGGATATTCTATCCAAAAGATGCGGAAAGGGGAATGGGCAGGCTCCTGGACTCTGATGGAAGCTAACTTCACATGCTTGGAAAAGCTGAACTTGTAGGATTCAAGAGAGCCCCATCCCAAGGTTATGGAAAGAGTCAACTGTGCTGGAGTGGCTGAGGCAATGAGTCGGACCCACTAAGCTGTCTGGGAGAGACTCTCAGAGCTGTCAAACCACTCTCCAGCGCTGCAGCACCCCTAAGTCTTCACCTACATGGGGTCCTGTTTGTGAGTCCTTGCTCTCACAAGTAACCCCTTGACCAAATTGTAAGTATAATAAATGGACTCATTATCATACAATACATTCACCAGTTCACCAAGTTGGATTCTAGTGTGATCAGTACTTTGGTCTGTCATGGGTTCCCTATCTGGGGTGGGTAGACAAATGTTAAGTTGTGCCTCCTCAGGAAGGCTCACACAACAGTGATTCACACCTGTAATCCCAACACTAGGTGCCTAAGAGGAGTGTGATTCCAGGGCCATCAAGTGAAAAGACAGGGCTGGCAATATGCCTCAGTGGATAAAGGCACTTGCTGCCACACCTGACAAATTTGAGTTCGAGCCCCAAAACCCACATGCTAGAAGGAGAAAACCAACTCCTGAAAGTTGTCCACTGACCTCCACCTGGGCACTTGCACACACACACACACAAAAAAAAATAAATAAATAAATAAATAAAATAAAATAAAATTTTAAAGATTTTTAAAAGCAATATTGACAAACCTCTAGCTAGCCTAACCAAATAAAAGAAGGCTCAAATGAATAGATTTGAGATATAGAAGTGGATGTTAAAATAGACTTCAGGGCTGGAGAGATGACTCAGAGGTTAAGAGCAGTGGCCGCTCTTTCAGAGGTCCTGAGTTCAATTCCCAGCAACCACATTACAACCATCTGTAATGAGATCTGGTGCCCCCTTCTGGCCTGCAGGCAACATGCAGGAGGAATATTGTATACATAATAAATAAAAAAAACTTAAAAAATAAAGTAGACTTCAATGAAATCCAGGGAATTATTAGGGACTATTTTGAAAAATGTACATTTTAGAAGCTGGGAAACGTAGCCCAGTGAGATGGCTCAGGCCAGACAACTGAGTTCCATTTCTAGAATCCATGTAAAGGTGACAGGAAAGAACCAAATTCACAAAATTGTTCTCTGTCCCCTATATCTACACACAAACACACACACACACACACACACACACACACACACACACACACACACACACACACACACTAGCAAATGTGATGGATAATCTTGACTATCAACCTGAATATCTTTGGAATCAACTAAACTCCAGGCATCTGGGCACACCTGTGAGGGATTTTTCATGACTGGATCATGTGAGGTGGGAAGACCCACCCTAAATCTGGGCCACACCTTCTGGTAGCAGCCCACAGAAAGAAGGAGGAGCTTGTGATGTTTGCCTGCTTGCCCTCGCTCTCAGGGCAAGTTCATCTATGTTGTTGCTGAAGCTCTCCTTCACTGGCTTAGAACCTCCTTCTTGAGTACCTACCCAAGAAACAGTAAGTCGGCATAACACAGAAATATCTACACATACGTGTTTGTTAATGCAGTATTCACAATTGCCAGGAAATGAAACCATGCTAGATGTCCATCAACTGATGCATGGATTTTAAAATACACACACACACACACACACACACACACACACACACACACACACACACAAAGGAATTTTATTCAGCTGTAAATAAAAGTGATATTATATCTGCAGAAAAACAAATGTAGAGCCCGGCAGTGGTGGCGCACGCCTTTAATCCCAGCACTTGGGAAGCAGAGGCAGGCAGATCTCTGTGAGTTCAAGTCCAGCCTGGTCTACAGAGTGAGTTCCAGAACAGGCTCCAAAGCCACACAGAGAAACCCTGTCTCGGGGAAAACAAAAAACAAAAACCAAAAAAACGGAAAAACAAAATGTAATTGGATGTCATTCCATAAGGCAGAATAAATGACACAAATAGAGCATGCTTTCTCTCGAGTGTAGTAGGAAGGGGATTGTGAGGAAGGACTGAGTGTGTTAGCACACATCTATAATCCCAGCACCCAGGAGATAGAGGCAGGGGGATCAGGAGTTCAAGGCCATCCTCAGCTACATAGTGAGCTCAAGGCCAGAAAGGTCTACATTGTCATCGTCATCCTAGTCATTGTCATCATCATCATCACCATTATCATCATAGGGGCTGAAATAGCTTGGCTGTTAAGAGCACTGGATGTTCTTGCAGAGGAGCTGAATTTGATTCCCAGCACCCACATGGCGATCCCAACCCTCTGAAATCCCAACCCTCAGAGGATCCAGCGCTGCCTCTGGCCTCTGCAGGCAAAACACAAAATAAAAAGTCACAACTGGTCAAAATGCAGATATCAACTGGCCATGAGGTATCTGACCCCAAGTAATAAAATTATAATAGTACCCCATCCTTAAGGCTTGGGGGGACATCATGGAAGGGGACCAAAGTCAGAAGACAAGGACATCCGATTGGAGAGTTTTTCCTTAAAAAAGAGACATGAAAGCAGTGGGGATGGATAGGATCAAGAGACACTGTATGAAATTCTCTAGGACAAAATTTCCTAGATATTGTGATTAGAGATGTCAGTGTCACAGCCTGATCAGGAAGAAAAGTGTGTAAGCAAGTCAAAGCCAGTCAAATGCTTGGCACAGATCCAGGTGTGGGGACTGGGTACAGGAGTGGCCTATCCTCAGGGCTGGTTGGAGAAGCATCCAAAAGAGACCCATATCAAGACTGAGTGGGCTCTGACTTCCTGCCCTCAAGGTATACAATCTAATCCGGGCTAAGGACCAAGACCCGAGCTGCTATACTACAGGCAGAATGAAGCCACTAGAACCTAAAGTCGGTGAGAAAAGCAAGCATATGACTGAAGCAGGCTCTGGGGAGGGGTGGACAGGAGGCAGGAGGGCAGAGAGTGCTGCTTTGCAAAAGCCCCAGGAGGGCTGGGAGCCGATGGGCACTGCCATTATGACAGCAGTTGGAAAGATGAGCTCCTGGAAGCTGGTTGTCTTCCTATTGCCTGACTCTTTCAGATGAGGAAACAGGGGCCCAGGGAGGTTCCCAAGGTCATACAAGCTGGTAGGTGGCACTGTTTGGTGCCTCACCCTGACCTCCTTACCACTGGAATGTCACACAGTGGCATTACTCAGTCCTTTCCATCTAAGATGTCAACAGCCCCAGCACAGCTGGCAGATGTGCTACCCTGGATCTGGGGAGAGCGTGTGCTGAGAACAAGCAAAGTCCTGAGTTGTCTCCAGACCAAAGGAAGGAAGAAGGAAGGAAGGAAGGAAGGAAGGAAGGAAGGAAGGAAGGAAGGAAGGAAGGAAGGAAGGAA